CCCCCCCCCCCGTGCTCGGGGCCTGGTCAAGGACCGAGCACCGTTATCAAAATTGAGCTGCAATCACGAGTCACACTGAGAGGAGAAAACATGTGATCCGCGGCTGGCAACGTCACATCAAAAACAGGAGGTGGGCATATGCATCCAAAAAGTTGTCTCAGAAAGGCTTTACTTGCGTGTGCCGATGGTGTCGGCTACAAAGTCAAAAGCATCCTTCTTGGGCGCTGGCGCGGCCGTGCGACTCGGGTTGTTGTTGACAAAGCTGAAGGAAGCCCCATTGGCCATACCACCCGAGTTGGGTGCACCCATCATGCCCCCACCGTACATCATGGACATGCCATTGCCGTAACCCTGCTGCATGGGCTGTTGAGGTTGCTGAGCCATGTAGCCATAGCCCATGCCGGCTTGCTGTTGCATGCCCATGCCCATACCCATGTTGCCCATACCCATGCCCATGCCCATGCCCATGCCCATATTTTGCGGGGCTGTCGACTGCTGCGGGGCCATGAGCCCGCCCATGGGGTCCAACAAACTACCCGTGGCCGAACCTGCCTGCGGGACCACGGGCCCAGCAGAGCTGCCACCGAGAAGGTCGCCGAGCAGACTGTCTTGGTTTGCCGCACCCGCTGTACTCGTGGTGGTTGTGGAACCCATGCCCAAGGACATCAGATCGCCTTGCCTACACATGCGACATACATGCTTTCATGAGAACCAAGCCTGAACGCACAAAATGCAAGCAAAAGGGGGAACAGGCTTCAAAGAGCACCCAAATCAGGCTTGGGTGATGCACTGGTTTGGCAAGGCACGCACATGGAATTGGAGGTGGGGGTAGTGCTCGAAGGGACGGCATCACTGCCGCCGCCGCTGCTGCTGCCACCCAGGTTCATACCGCTAAACATGGAGCCGCCGCTGGCGGGGGCTGCGGCAGGTGTGGCCGTCGCAACATCGCCACCAAAACCCGCCAGCAGATCGCCGTCACTGCTAGACGCAGGCGCCACGGATGGCGCCGCCGACGAATTGCCGGCCAAATTCATGTTGGAAAACATGGAGCTCATGCCTCCGGTTGAAGTTGCAGGCGACGACTGTGCCCCCTGATCCGCCATGCCCATTCCAGCAAACATGCCACCACCTGTGGAAGAGGCAGTAGGAGCCGCAGCAGCCACCTCGGTGGCTGGAGTCGCACCACCCAAAAAGTCTGACAGTGGGTCAAATCCGCCTTCCTGACCGGCGGCAACCGGAGCAGGTGCACCCCCCTAAAATTATGCATCGACCCGCGACCACAAGACTCAGCAAGACCTGCAGTGTGCACGAAAGAAACTGCGCGTGATGGCAAGACCCACCAGGTCGAGATCCAAGAGGTCGGCCCCTCCGCCGACAGGGACTGCAGCATCAGAAACAGTGGCCGCAGGGGTGCTCCCGGCGGTGGCCGTGCCCTCGATTGCCTTGAGAAGCTTTTGCGATTTAGCTCGAATAGCGCGGCTCTCGTCTTGTTGCAGCTCCTGCAAGACGATGTAACATATGAAGACATTGCAAGGAGAAGAAATAAAAACAAGCGTGAATGGCTGAGCGTTCCAAGCCCTGGGCAGATACGACCCCAAACGTACCACCAATGTTGCACGCATGCACTCGAGGCACGAGCGAATGCCGACAATGCCCGAAGTGGAAAGTGCCAGCCCAACATGAAGAGCGCGCTGTGTTGTGAGGAGCCAGCAGAACCACCGATGGATTTAAGAGGGTGCCGGTTTCAAGGCAGCAACAAAAGGTGATGGGAGAAAGGACCAGCCGCTGCAGGCGCACGCACCTGAACGTGCTTGTCGTTGTCAGCACCATCGATGATTTCCAAAAGTTCCTCGGCCACACGATGACAATCAAGACTGTGGCAGCGCTGAACAAATTTGGCCAAGTCTTCGGCAGGGGGTTGTGACTGCGGGGCAAAGCGGGAATCGATGGCTGGGGTGAGACCAGTTTTACACTTGAACCAAAAAAGTGGGCGAGGGCACGTACACGAACACCGCCGGCCGCAGTAATCTCAGCCACCAAACGTTTTTCGTGGCCTGTATCACGGGTGATGGGCGAGTTGTTGGCGTTGGGACTGGTGCCAAGAATGGCAGTGCTGGAATTTCCAGTTGCTAGCAAACCCGACCGATGTTGCGGGGCATCGCTGGTGAAACCGCCGTCGGCGTTGCGGTTGAAGGAGGCCTCCATTTCGCTGACACGGTGTCATAGGGCATGGCATGTGGACAACGGGTGAGACCAAGGAAAGGGGAGGTAAGGCATGACAGCATGCCTGGACATTTGAAAAGAAGGTTCGAGACGACGGGGGCGGGGGATTCAACACGCGGCGGGAATGGAATGGGCGTTGGTCGGGTGATGATTACCTGTGAGCATTGTAAGCGGGCTGGTGATAACCTTGGCGCTTGGCAACGGTGGCACCACCGACCAGGGAGTCGGGAATGTTCTCAGCAATGTCATTGATTTTGGCCTTGATCTTGTTGACAAAGCCTGAAGGCTGCTGGCTGTTGCCTGTGCACAGGCAGGATGAACCATGCTATCAGCAGCCACTTGACGAGGCGAAGGCCGTGGACCTCAGAGTTTAATAGGCAGAAATCAAGCAGGCGGAAGGTGGGGGGAAGGGGGGGGGGGGGGGGGAGTCGGGGTTTCCCATGCCCCACATGCGGCCTTCGGCAGAGGCATTGTTGCCCAGACTTGTGGGCGTACTGGCGGGGGCGGAGCTGCCCCCAAACTTGGCGGCCATGGCGGCTTGACCGGAATGGCTTTGGCCGATGCTGGTTCCGGCACCATGGGAGGTATTGCCAAAGCCATCGCGGGCTACGGCTGAGGTGCGGGCCTCGGGCGGCCGGCGCTGGCCACCCTGAGCGCCATTGAAAAGTGCCTCCATCACGGCCTGTGCAAGCATCCGCGTGGGATGGAGGAAAAGGGTGAGGGGGGCGTGCCTGATGACGTTGGATGCAAGAGAACAGGCGGCTGACCTTGGCATTATCGCGAACAGCTTTGTTGAAGGTGTCTCCGTGCAAAGGGTCCACCGGCCCCTTGAAATCTGCGTCGCCCAGAACAGGGTATGGTAGGTATGAGGACAGGGTGTAGAATGGAAGAACGGGGTGGGGAGGCAGTGAGGAGGATGGTGATGGAGCGTACAAAGTTCGGCTTTAATGTCCTCATTGCGGTGTTGCAGGCTGCGGTAGAAGGATTCGTGGCCCTTTTCGACGAGGTGCTTGAGGACCTTGAGGACCTTGACCTTTGTGTGGACGCCCTTCTTTTTGAGTCGTGAGAGGAGATACTCTTGAAGATCATCGCAGATTTGCACCGATTCAAAGGTCAACCGGCAAATCTCGTCATACATGTAGCCGGGTGTCGGCTCGTTCTTGTCGCTGGTGGCCTTGTTCAGCATCCCCAGCTGCGGCGCGCACCATTGTTTCAACCGTGAGGAGCGGCAGGGGTATCATATCAAGAATGGCGTATTTCAAGATGGGAGTGGGTGCTGCCTTTGGATGGGGGCAAGTGGTTCACAAGAGAGGGAAGAGGGAAGAGGGAAGAGGAAAGAGGAAAGAGGAGGACGGGCAAGCACGAGGAGGTGGCCTGGGGCTACAAGGTGGCACCTACATGCGAACGAAGGGACATGGTACGGCGGATTGTATCCATCACGACGGTTCAGCACGCCCCTGCCCGGCGCGAGTGCACAGTGAGAGAAAAGCGTGCGTGAGCCCACATCCAGACCAGCAAAAGTGGCGCGAGAAGGCGCGCGATCCGACACGCATCCACCCCCAACAGGTAGCTGCCAGCTCAACACACTGACGCTCCCGATCTTGCTCACGCCTGGAGCTTCAGACCGCGCCCGCGCCCTCAAACACCTGCACGCTTGTTCCCACCCTTGCTCACGCTCTCCAACCCCCATTCTCCCTCCCTGCTCTATCTCTCCTTGTTGATGATCCTCTGTACAAGCCACACAGCCCCCCTGCCAGGGTTATTTTTCCGCGCCGGCGCTGCCGTTCCGACCGTCCGCTCGTTTGCGCGCGCTCTCTCTCTCTCTCTCTCTCTCTCTCTCTCTCTCTCTCTCTCTCTCTCTCTCTCTCTCTCTCTCTCTCTCTCTCTCTTACCTCTGGGTTGTCGGCAGCACCATTCGTCAACAACTGCTGTTATAAACACATTCTCGGCATTTTTGCTGACATCGGCCCCCCCAGAAACCCCGCCACGTTGGCTATTTTTAGGACGTCCTAGTATCCTGGAAACGAAGCTTTAAACTCTCAAGCGCTCACTCGACTCTCTCAAGCTCTCTCAAAACTCTCTCCTCTACAAGCTCTCTCTCTCTCTCTCAAGCTCTCTCAAGCTCTCTCAAGCTCTCTCAAGCTCTCTCTCTCAAGCTCTCTCTCTCAAGCTCTCTCTCTCAAGCTCTCTCTCAAGCTCTCTCAAGCTCTCTCTCTCAAGCTCTCTCTCTCAAGCTCTCTCTTTCAAGCTCTCTCTCTCAAGCTCTCTCTCTCTCTCTCTCTCTCTCTCTCTTGACAAAGTCTACCAGGCCATCTCTCTTGTGCTTGAAAGACGTGTACGCCCCGATCTCCTGCTGCCTGTGATCCCTGACGCCTCCCCTCTCCTCCTCCTCCTCCTCCTTCTCCTCCCCATCCTCCTTCTTCCCTCTCCCTCCTCTCTCCTCCTCCTCCTCCTTCTCCTCCCCATCCTCCTTCTTCCCTCTCCCTCCCCTCTCCCTCTCTCTCCCCTCTTCCTCCTTCTCCTCTCCTCCTCTTTCCCGGTCTTGCCTTGTTGGCATGGCTGGTACTCGACCTTGTGCTGGGTCCGGCCGGCCTCGACAGGTGCCAGGGCACTGCCCTGTTGTCATATCATAATTTGTTCTCGACCTCCTCCTGGTTGTGCTCTGGCCTTGTACGGGTCCTTGTGTGCCTGTACCCCGTCCATGAACTGCCCCGATACCGCTTGTGTGTGGATGCCCTGTGCATCTTCTTTCTCGATATAGCTGTACAGCTCTTCTTGTGTGCGAATACTTGCTCCGGCTGCCCGTGCTCGTGGCCGCCTTCAGCGACTCGCTCCTGTCGTTGCTCTGCGCTTGGCTTGAGCAAATCACCGCCACCTTGATCGATGGATTGGCAATCTGATGCCCCCCCCCCACCACGTGTTTGGGCTCACGCTTCACTGGCGCGTTGCTTGAATTAGGCTCGGCAAACATGGGTGCCCAATGCAGCTCGGCTCGCAATGCGGATGTCAGGGGTGAGGATCCTCAAGATGACGCCACGCCCACTACCATAGCTCAGGTCACAAACACCAAACTCGGCGCAAAGGAGCGGGATGCTGCAGCCAAAGGCTCGGCCGCTGCAAAACTGGCTCGAGCAAACAAGCAAGCTGTCGTGCCCTTGCCCGCATCCGAGGAAGCTCGCGTAGCACAATGCAACGCCTTTTGGAAAGCGCTCACCAAGGTCTGTCCACCACCCAATGCCCCGCTTCTGCCTCGCCGCTGCCTCCACGGCCAGATAGCGCTGCTGAATAGGACAACCCACATGTAGACCTTGCGCTTACATCCCCCACTCTCATTCCTTGCTCCCATTCCCTGCGCCCTCCTCCTCTCTCTCCCTCTGCTGTAGAATCAAAAAAGCGAGACGGATTCCTTTTTTGCCGCGCCCAAGCCCGATCCGAAACAATACCCGCTGGAAAAATACACCATGTTGCAACGCTACTATGATGGCCTAGTCCGGTTGCGGGACGACATTCTCGTCGCCAAATTCCCGCTCCTGGCCCTGACAACAGATACCTTTATGGGCCTGGACAAGCTTTCTGCTTATGAGGAGATGCAAGACCAGCTCATTAACATCAGCGACATGACGCCCGAGGACCGCAAAAAACACTACCTCATCTTCCTCTCCCACCAATGGACCGGAGGCACGCACCCAGATGTGGACGGCTCGCAGCTCGCCATCATGAAGCGGGCTGTCCAGGCCTCTTGCGAGCAGCGAAAAAAACGCGTCAAGCAGCGGAAGGTGCTGATTTGGGTGGATTATTGCTGCTTTCCACAGGCCGACACCAGTGAGGCACGAGCCGAACAGCAAAAGGCCATTGACAGTCTGTGCGCATACGTGCGGCAAGCGGACGACTTTGTGGCCGTGACGCCAGACGTGGAAGATCATTTCGAGGCGCGCCGGGCTGCTACGGGGCAGACGCGGCTGTCGCGTGATACCTACCTGCAGCGCGGATGGTGCACGGTGGAATGCCTGGCCCGCGCCTGCGTGGGCCAGCATGCCAATTGCACGCAGACGGGCGACGATTTTGAAGTGGTGGGCGGCGGCATGGTCGAGGCCTCGGGCAACAGCGTCTACGGGTTTGAATTTGGGGACGTGACATCCAAACTGTTCCCCACGGAAAAGGACTTTACCTGTTGCTTTCTAGAACACCCCAATGGCATGGCATGCGACAAGAGCCGCATGGCCAACCTTCTTCTCGGCTGCTATGCCCTGGCCGTCACATCCCAGATTGCGCAGGGTGGCTTGGAAAACTTGGTGACGGCAAGCACGACATCTAATATTTCACACTTTCTCATGTCGCCGTACATCAAGGACCCACTGATCGGCATTGGCTTTGCTGGTCAATTGCACTCTAACCTACACCGTCTGCTACCAGAACAATGGTGTGCTTCATCCCTCGCGACGTTGAAGTCCATGTGCGGCCCGCCTTTGAGCCTGAGTAACCATTCATGGAGCATGCAATCCAATGTGGCATCGGATTTCATGGCCCTGCTGCTGGCTGCAAGTCGATGTGGCCTCTTGCTGCGCGACCCCGAGCAGCGACGGCCCTTTGATCCGTTTGGCAAGATTGAAGACTTTGACTCGGACTCGGACGAAAAACCTTGGTAACAATGTCATATTGAGCATGAGAGTTGCACACGTGGAGAAGATAAAATGATTGTAAACCAGCTGGGCGAGGCCTGGGAGGCAGGCGTGACACCTGATCATCAACAGGCTGGTCAACAGGGTGCAGGCGATGCTTCAAATTCGATCCAACCCAGAAGTTGTGCTTTAATTTTTTTTCTTCGCCCACCTACTCACCTGCACAGTTGTTCTTCTCCCATTATCAGCCCCAAGGTTCTCTTCAAAAATCATAGCAAGGGCATCAAAGGAGTCACACAGACTGCGGTGCACAACTGTCGAGCCAAATGGAGCACGCTACGTTCTGTCACATTGAGTCGAGGCGCTTGGCGTGGGCAGGGGGGGGGGCATGCTAACCATGCCCAGCACACCCTCGTCTCCTTTCAAACGTGCTCTGGCACACTCTGCTATGGAGCAGAAGAAGTTTTACCTTGAAAAGTGTGAGAAAAAGTCACAGTGTCGGACTCACACGTCAATTTCATTTTCACATCGGATGTCAATTTGGACTGCGCTCGTCAAGAGAAAAACGACGCCATGGTGAGGCTCTGGGTGATGGTGGTGGTCAGTGGCCTGGTGGCCTGGGCCATGGCGGCCGATGTCCGCAAGCCGACAATTGCTGCACATGCAGATGGGACGTTCTCGATCAATGCCAGCAATCAAGTGGCCATCAATGGTGCGAATATCGTCGTCAACGGCGTGGATGTGCAGCCGTGCTACAGGCGGTGGTCGCTAGTTTGAAGCCACAGCGCATCATGCATCCTCTCGAGAGTCACAAGATCTCCATAGACGTCAAGGGCGCGCTCTCGGTGTATGCGGCCGACCTAGACAACGATGGTCATGTCGACGTCCTCAGCGCCAGTGGTGTTGACGACAAGATTGCATGGTACCGAAACAATGGCAATGGCACCTTTTCTGCACAGATTAACATCAGCACAAACGCCGATGAAGCGCGCGAGGTATATGCAGCGGACCTGGACAATGATGGCGACCTCGACGTCCTGAGTGCCAGCTCCAAAGACGACAAGATTGCGTGGTACCGCAACAATGGCGCGGCACCTTCTCCACTCAAATCATCATCACCACAAACGCCGATGTGGCGCGATCCGTGTACGCGGCTGATCTAGATAATGACGGTGACATCGACATCTTGAGTGCCAGCCTGGGGGACGACAAGGTTGCATGGTACCGCAACAATGGCGATGGCACCTTTTCTTCACAGATTATCATCACCTCAGACGCCAAGGGCGCTTTCTCCGTGCATGCGGCGGACCTTGACAACGACGGTCATGTCGATGTTCTCAGCGCCAGTGTCCACGACGACAAGATTGCGTGGTATCGCAACAATGGCAACGGCGCGTTTTCTGCACAAAACATCATAAGTACGGATGCGAAAGGTGCGCGCTCGGTGTTTGCGGCAGACCTGGACAACGATGGTCATCTGGACGTTCTCAGTGCCAGCGCAGATGATGACAAAATTGCATGGTACCGCAACCAGGGCAATAGCACCTTTTCCACGCAGATCATCATGACCACAGACGCCGACTGGGTGCATTCGGTGTATGCGGCGGACCTGGACAACGATGGCGACCTCGACGTGCTTAGTGCCAGCTACCGCGACGACAAGATTGCGTGGTATTGCAACAACGGCGACGGGACTTTCTCTATGCAGATTGGCATCACCACGGGAGCCAATGGGGCCCACTCGGTATATGCAGCAGATTTGGACAACGACGGCCATATGGACGTCCTCAGCGCCAGTGAAGCAGATGATAAGATTGCATGGTACCGCAATCAGATGGGGCAAATCCTATCAAACTTGTAACCTGCTCGGATCAACGTCAGTTACGCACCAGATTTGTCAAATTGGATCAATATTTCATTATACTTGCCGGCCAGCATGGATAGACTCAGAATGCGGGGTTGGAATTGGCCAAAACCCTTGTCTCCGACTTTAAAAATTCCCCCCACGGCGCACGGCAAACAGCTCACACCAGGTCAAGTTTGTCCGATTGGCGACAACCACAACTACAACGAGCAAGTCGCCACGCCTCTTTCCTCCCAGCTCTATTCCGTTGAGGGTTGGAAGTGTTAGGGTTTTGATCCAGCGGTGACTGGAGACTGGAGCGGGGGGGGACATGAAGGAGACAAGCGCCGCAGCCGATGCCTGGGGTCCAACAACCATAGCGACTTGCCATAGCAAAACAAAAAAAGTTCACAACAGCAGTTCCACTTTTCGTTTCGTACCCAAAGTTTTTTACTTTTTTTTTCAGTACTCTCGATGCAAACCGAGACATCATGATACAGACGGAGTCGTTTTGGGTGTGGGTGAGCAGTGCCCTGGTGATCTGGATCGTGGCTGCCAGTGAGGATGAGCCGACGATTACCACTGATGCAGATGGCACGCTGTTCATCAATTCGACCAATCACGTGGTTATCAACGGTGTGGATGTGTTGGCCGTGTTAACGTCGATGGCCGTGGACTTGAACCCGCGGCGTGTGATGGCACCATTGGAGGCGCATGTTCTCTCCACGAACGCCAATGGCGCGATGTCGGTGTATGCGGTCGACCTAGACAATGATGGCGCCCTCGACGTCCTCAGCGTTAGCCGCCACAACGACAGAGTTGAATGGCACCGCAACAATGGCGATGGCACCTTTTCTGCACAGATTGACATCAGCACGGAAGTGGATGAAGCACGCTCGGTGTATGCAGCGGACCTGGACAAGGACGGTTATGCTGATGTCCTGAGCGCCAGTTCCAACGACAATAAGATTGCGTGGTACCGCAACAATGGCGACGGCACCTTTTCCACTCAAATCATCATCACCACGAACGCCGATGCTGTGCGTTCGGTGTACGCGGCCGATCTAGATGATGACGGTGACATCGACGTCTTGAGTGCCAGCCCCGATGACAACAAGATTGCGTGGTACCGTAACAATGGTGTTGGCAACTTTTCCAACCAAATCATCATCTCTGGAAGAGCTGATGGTGCGCGCTCGGTGTACGCAGCGGACCTTGACAACGACGGCCACGTCGACGTCCTGAGCGCCAACTATCGTGACAACGAGATTACTTGGTACCGCAACGATGGCAATGGTACCTTTTCCACCCAAAGTAACATCACCACAAATGCCGTTGGTGCGACCTCGGTACATGCGGCGGACCTCGACAATGACGGCAACCTTGACGTACTCAGCGCCAGTTACGATGACGACAAGATTGCGTGGTACCGCAACAATGGCATTGGCACCTTTTCATCTCAGATTGTCATTACCACAGAGGCTGCTGGAGCCTACTCGGTGTTTGCAGCGGACCTGGACAAGGACGGCGATCTCGACGTCTTGAGCGCCAGCAGCAGTGACAACAAGATTGCCTGGTATTGCAACAAGGGTGACGGTACCTTTTCCACACAGATTGTCATCGCCACGGATGATGATGGTGCGATCGCGGTGCATGCGGCAGACTTGGACAACGACGGCCATATTGACGTCCTCGGCGCCAGCCACTACGGCGACAAGATTGTGTGGTACCGCAATCAGATGGGGCAAGCACTGCTAAACCTGTAGTCTCTTTTGACCGATGCCAGCGGCCCACTTGGTCGCCGCACCAATCGACATAGAAAAAAATCTCTTCGTATCCCGATTGATGCTTGAGGCACACTGCACTGCATGGCAGGAGCGACCACACTTTGCGGCGTCCCGGTCTCTGGCTTCAAAAGACACCCATGCCTGGTGCGTAGGCAAAGCCAGGTGCACAATCGTAGCACGTGAATGTCTGCCAAAATAGCAACAAACTTCATACCATTCGACGCGCAATGAAAAGTTGAGTGCACGCAGCATCAACCGAGTATTTGATCTGAATAGTACTCTGCGAAAAATTCGATTTCCCGGATGCCATTCCACAGAACATGAAACAGTTCAGTCAATTTGTTTTTGCAGGAATTTCAATTTTCACAGAAACATTACAGGTGAACTGTAGGAAAAAAAAAAAATATGATCCAGTTTTACCACATGTAAAAGAATCTTTAGTAAACCTTTACACACCGAACCGTCACGATCTCATTTTTTTAATTCTGCGACGAATGCAAAAAAAAAAAGGGAATCCGATCGATCAGTGAGCAATTTCCAGATCTGGACGCCGACGCCGCCTGTGATTCGTCTTCCTTGGCGTCAGCTTACACGACGATCAGTGTGCGTGGGACTGCAGCCGTACCCACAACTGCAAACAAGGCTTGCGCTCCAGTGCTGATTGTGAAAACGCACCGAGAAAGGGGCGTTGGCCTCTGTTCGTGCCGCGTTGATTTGGGGGCGGCGTGCGGTGACGATCACGACGGCGATCATGGCGGCTTCAAGGAGACTGGGCCCGATCGTAGGCGAGGCGGCAGTGCTGGGGCATGGGCCTTGCTTGGCCATGTTACTTTTTGTCTCGTTGCTTGGGGCTGCACAAGGTACGGCGTTGTGCTAAAGGCGACACGGCACGACTTCAAGCACTTAGCCTCATCCGCTTTGGACAGGGCAAATCCAATGGATTCCGTTGCAGCTGGAAGAGGGGTTTGTTGCCCGAGAAGGCTACATGCAGCCCGAGTACGCCCTCGACGGTGATCGCGTGTATCTACGTGGTGATATCGAGGTGAACACCCTTCTTGGTGCTTTCATCGCCATGCGCCCCACCTCTGCCCTGACGGCCAGCTGCGCACGCTTGGTCCCTTGGCTGATTAGCCCGTGCCCATGCTTGCATGTCATGCCAAACTCTGCTGCATCGTCGCATAGATCGTCGATGCGACCAAAACCGTCATCACCATTCTGGCCGACCATGCTCCTGAAGCTGCGCTGGCCTTCACCGCTCCGACTTCTGATACCATTTATTCCCATCGGTCCGTATTCCACCAAAGGCGTGCGAGCATGCGGGGGGAAGGAAGAAGAGGGGTAAACTTGAAGAAATAGTGGGGAAAAAGTTGTTGATGGCGCCTTTGAATGCAAACATGCCAAGCCACAACAACTAATCTTCGCAAGCACCACAAACACTCACCTTCACCCTGAATGGATGGTAGTGTGGATGTTCGCGTAAGCGGACAAGTGGCCATCACGGCTCAAGTCCCAGGATCGACCTACTTCTCGCTCAATCGCATCATCTATTCGGTAGCGCCTCAAAATGGCGGAGATAGTGTCAATGGCATGTGAGTTTCGCACAATGTTGCCAGAAAAACGCAGTTGCCAACACCAAGCCATGAGCACCGTGCTGATGACTCGGCGATGGGGGCCTGATGTATCACTAGGTTCCAGACAATGTCCATGGCCACAGGCGCATCATTCATTGGCAACGGGTGGACGGTGCGTTGACCGATGCCCAACCACGGCCGTGCACTTTCCTTTCTATTCTTTTTTTTTCTTTTTTTTTTTTTTTTTTTTTTTTTTTTTGTGTGTGTGTGTCCCTGTGTGCGCAGTAAGGACGGTGGTGCAGCTGACTCACGACCAAATATTTGTGCCAAAATGGGTGGTCAAACTGGTTGTTGAATGCTTGCAGATACCGCAATGCCGCTTGTCAACGGCTAACGTCGTCGAGTGCCGAGGCCGCGTTCGCCGCAGCTCTCTTGGCACCTTGTTCACCTTGCCGGCAGGTCAGAAAAAAACAATGGTACTCTCCGTCGTATTGCCATTGACCCCGTTGGCGATGACTGCCCATCGCTGTTACTGTTTAGAAATGAGGCCCGCCATGGATCTGTCCTTTCCGGCCGCATCCCACCCTGGTGAGTCATACGAAACTTGTCGCATCGACGTGTATCCGTCAGGCGATGTTATAAAGAAGTCCCAGACCGGCACTCTCTCAGGCGATGCCAGTCTGGATGGTATCCGTTTTGCGGTAGGCTATGGCTTGCATGTCCTTTCTCAGAGGCTTATCGCCGACCATCCATCTGTTCATGGATGCTCACCTGGGATATTTTGGCACGGCCCGGTGTGGTCACCAGCTGGCTCGAACGGGTCTAACGCTGGGTCCCAACTACGTGAATGAAGACGGAACATGGTCCACGGTGGCTCTGACCCTGGATCGGTTTGGTGTTTTGGTCTCTGGTGAGCTCCATGTCTTCGACGCGTTTTTGCATGGCTGCCGTCTGTTGGATACAGTCGTATCGGGCCATGCAAAACCTTGTTGTTGTTGGGTTCGGTGTCGACCACCAGATCGTGCCTGGAACTGATGAGATGTTACTTGTGGGACTGCAGGTTTGGCAAGGCGATCCAGTGGCAATGTCGTCGGCGGGGAAACCATTGCCATTCTACCCGAGGGCTACCGCCCCTCCCGCCGAACCCTCAGTCAGGGCATTGCACACACCAGCGGCCATGCCCGCACCTACATCATCAATACCGACGGTGTGTGTGTGTGTGTGTGTGTGTGTGTGTGTGTGTGTGTGTGTGTGTGTGTGTGTGTGTGTGTGTGTGTGTGTGTGTGTGTGTGTGTGTGTGTGTGTGTGTGTGTGTGTGTGTGTGTGTGTGTGTGTGTGTGTGTGTGTGTGCCCGCTCTTCCTATTCGACACATTGGCTGACATCATTGGGCTGTTTCTGTCAATCCAATAGGCAGTATTGTGGCCTCCTCTTCAGCAGCCAGCAGTATCCACGCAGAATTGGACGGCATCTATGTCTCACTTGAAAACCCCATTGCCGCTGGATCCATGTCCCTTCCAACGTCCGCGGCCTGGACAGCTGCCGCGGATGGTGGTGCCAGTCCACGCCTATACGTGATCCCGATCACGGTGGGAGGCGTTTCTGTCTCGCGCATTCGGTTGGAAGGTAGTCTGACGATGGTTGATGGAGCCTCGGCGGCAGAAGGGCCAGACGTGGCCTACATTCCTTCGGGTTATCGGCCTCCTCTTCAAGTCGCTTATATGGCAGCTGGTAACTCGGGCTCTGGTCCAGATTACAATCGCATCGATATTTGGCTCGAGGGCCATGTGCATTTTAATGGGGTCGCCACGGCCACGACGTCGGCTAGCTTGGACAGCATGGAGTTTTCTGCAAGCAACGATGGATGGACCAACGTATCAACTTATGCCCATGGATTTGCCGCGTATGGTAGTCACAACTGGGAGTACCCCAGCTACCTGGTGGCGGATGATGGCTGGATTTACTTGCGCGGCTTGGCTCAATGCTTGACAGGACTCATCACAGCCGACATGCTAATCATGACGCTGCCTTCCAATGCTCGACCGACCAAGGTGATGACGTTTGCCACCATCTCACACGACAACAAAGTGGCAATCCAGCTGGAGATCCAGCCGTCGGGGGCTGTTTACAGCCGCAGCAACTCGTCTAATGTGTATGTGTCGCTGGATGGAGCGTTTTTCCAAAACGGCGCCAATGTCGAGTGGCACTCGCTCTTGGATACGCTGCCTGCCAGCTTGCGCGAAGTGTTTGTGGTGGCTGACACAACCACGTACCACGAGCCAGCCTACGGGCTGCGTGGGGACACGGTGGTGCTGCGTGGTCGTGTGCGTCGGGCAACGACGGTGGACTCGGACAAGGCGGCCATCCTGGGGTATTTGCCAAGCAACATGCGACCGGAAAGCACGATGAGCTTTGCAGTATCGTCCATATCGGGAGCGCGCATGCACCAAATCCTAGTGCTGACGACCGGGCAGGTAGTGTTGGATACGGAGAATGCAGACCCACTGATCAGCTTGGAGGGGATTGCGTTTCAGCGTTTGGTTGGGGATGAAATCTTTGGCAACTGGCGCATGGGCGTTGTGAGCAACAACAACCTGGCCTTGCTGGCCACGAATACGGGTACGTTGGTGCGGAGGGGGGCGGGGGACGAATTTGGTGGATGGATCGGCATGTCAACAATGGTCTGATGATTTGTTGTGTGTTGATTCTGTACTGGCTATTTCAGCGGCCGGCGTGTTTACCGAGGATCGCGTGCGGGTGGTGACAATCAACAACGACGGCGCTGCTGGTAGCGAGTGGTCTCATGTGACGCCCATGACAAGTGGGGTGCGCCAGCTGGGCAACTGGCGAATTGGGCCGCACGACGCAGACCACTTTGTGATTTCGTAAGTGAATGGACGCTGGTGTTTGATGGATGGTGAGGCAGCGGGGTGATGGCCGAGCAGGCAAAGGGTTTGGCGAAAAAGAAAAGGACGTCGCGACTACTGGCGCGATCAGTTGAAGATTGAATGTCAAGTCGTTGTAACGACGGGTGTCTGGGCTGGTAGGCACACTTCCACCAACAATGGGACAGGATCACCTGCCATGCTGTGGCGAAGCGATGGAATTCTGTTTGTCAACCGCGCGGGCAATTCAGACGGGCTTGTAACCCCACTGAATGGGACCTCGAACTGCTATCAAGCCGGAGACTGGGTGATGGGCCCGCATCCTGATAACGGCAACATCTTTGTGATTAACCGCCTGGGATCCCTGCGAGTTTCAATGGCCATTTACAGCAACGGTGCGGTGTATACAGCCAGCTTGGAGGTACGAGGATGCTTGGCGTTGGAACCAGGAGGGGACATGGGCCCCTAGGTCTGAGAGACAAGCGTGCGCATTTCGAGGCAGGACTTGACGGTTTCACTCCGGTTGTTGTTATTATTATTGTGGGTCAACTAGTTGGTGAATGCAAGCTATCTGGCATCCATCAAGCACGACATTGATGCAGGGCCGACCTATTTCGGAACGTACGACGGGACCTACGATACCCTGGAGCTAGGCAGTTGGACGCTGGGAACGCGCAATGCGTACAGCTTTATCATGAATCCAAAGGGCGCCGTGCGCCCAGCGGCCGTTGTGACCAGCGATTACCGCTTCATTACGGGGGCCTATGCCAATGCCGCGGCCAGCGGAGATTTGTGCCACACGGCGGCCAGTGCGTCGGTTCTGCGACTCGGGGACTTTTTCTTTGGTCCAAAGAGCGATACATACTTTGTGATCAACCAAGTCGGCGCATCGGTTCCGCAGCTTGTGATTTCATCGGGCGGCACGTTCTATCTGAGTGGTGGAGATTCCACCTCGCCAGCACCAGCGGATTGGTCGTTGACGACATCGGATGCGGATGTGATTCGGATCGGGGATTGGTTGGTGGGACAGAAGAGAGCCAATCACTTTGTCATCAATCGTATTGGAGCATCATTGCCTCAGTTTCTGCTGCGCCATGACGGTCACATCTGGATTGGCAGCAACGTGATGCCACCGCCGACGACGTTGATGTTGGTACCGGAGTACTGTGTCACATCTGATGAGCAGACGCTGGCATCGCTGTCTCTGGACAGCGAATGGCTGGTGGGTGTCAAGTCTGAGCGATTTGTTGTGAGCTATGCGCATGCCACGTACCCAAACCTGGTGCTGTCGGACAGCGAGGTGTTATGGAATAGCTGGGTGGCAGAGGCGTTGCCGGCATATGGACTGGCCACCGCGGACAGCGGCGTGATTGCGGTTGGCGAGTGGCTGGTGGGTGTCAAGGATGGGGCGTTTGTGATCAACACAAAGACGCAAGCCGAGTTTTGGCCTCAGTTTGTGGCGTTGCGTGATATGACACTGCGGTTTGCGGGGGCCTCGTCACAAGCGACGGCCTCGTATAGTTTGGACGGCACAGCGACGAACAAGGTATGGAGTGTGTTGTGTGAGATGGATATATGGGCTGAGTGGGGCTGAGTGGGGCTGTGTGGGCTCCAACGATGATGCGCGTTGCTTATGCTGGGTGGGTACTAGATTGTCATTGGTGACTGGCTCATTGCCAGTGATAGCGCATCGACGCTGGTCATTTTGCCGGCGGATGCCAAGGCTCGGGGAATTGGACCCACACTTATGATCCGGTACGACCGAGAGGCAGGCTTGATGAATTTGGCGTTGGCTTGCGGCAGGGGTGAAATGGTTGAACTGCAAGGAGAGAAGGGTGGCTTCTGCTGCATCAATGGCACTTACGAATGGTGAGCTCATGAATGGTATGCTCATGTGGTTTGTGGAGGGGAATGAATCGAAACAGGTCGGATGGAGTCGTGTCTCGTGCAAGCACGTACTCGTGGGCCAACCAGCAGTTTGCCTGCAGCCTGGTACCTGAGTGTGATGGGGAGGCGTACTACTCGTACGACAACGCGGGTGACCGTACGTGCACAGATTGGACCGTTTGTCAGCTGGGCGAGTACGTTTCGACGGCCGGCACAAGCACCTCTGACCGAGCTTGCTCTGCGGTACGTGGCACGGGTGCAAGGGTGCTATCAGGATGGCCGGTTTGATTGGTTGCTTGAGTGGGTGGTGATGGGTAGCGTTTGAAGTGGGACCTAACGGTGTGTGTGCTCGAATTGTAGTGTGGGGCGGGTCTTTTTGCTGACGAGTTGAACATGGAGGCGTGCTCGGCCTATTCCACTTGTACGGCAGCCGTGACGTATGAGGTGACGGCGCCTAGTTCAACCAACGATCGGGTACGCCCTATTGGTGCACGCGTTTTGCGTGTGTGTGTGTTTGTGTGTGGAGACTGATTGATGGTGGGGGAGGGGAAAATTAACGGGCCGGCGGCAGCAGGAAGCTGACGAAAAGATGATGCCCTGTTGCGATGGTATGAGGATAGGAATGTACGAGCTGCTCCGTGTGCCCGAGTGGCCACTATGTGACAGAAGCATGCACGGTGATCGAGGACACGACGTGCAGTGGGTGCGACGCGTGTGATCCAACCGGAGTCATTCCGGAAACGCTTCAGACCAGTTGCACTTTAACGAGCAACACGGTGTGCCAGGCATGCACTGTGTGCGGTACTGGCCAATATCGGTTTGCGGCCTGTACAGCCACGACACAGACGGATTGCCGCGCAGTGAGTGCGTGCACTGACCAGCAGTATGAGGTGGCAGCGCCGACGGCAACGACAGATCGCCAATGCCAAGACTTGCGTACATGCAATGCTGCCAGTGGTGATGAGCCGACGATTACCACCGATGCAGATGGCACGCTGTTTATTACTTCGAGCAACCGTGTGGTGGTCAATGGGGTGGATGTGCTGGCCGTGTTAGCGACATTGGTTGTTGATTGGCAGCCGCAGCTCGTTGTGCAGCCGCTTGAGACACACGTTCTCTCCATGGACGCCGAGGATGCACGCTCGGTGTATGCGGCAGACCTGGACAACGACGGCCGCGCTGACGTCCTCAGCGCCAGCGTGTCTGACAGCAAAGTGGCATGGTATCACAACAACGGCGATGGTACGTTTTCGGCACAGCGGGTCATTGCCACAAAGGCCAATGGCTCGTCCTCGGTGCATGCAGCGGATCTGGATAATGATGGTGATCTTGACGTCTTGAGTGCCAGCTACTACGACGACGAGATTGTGTGGCACCCGAACAATGGGGACGGCACGTTTTCCACGCCAATCGCCATCACCTCGGCAGCCACCTCTGCGCGCTCCGTGTTTACGGCAGACCTGGACAACGACCGCGACCTCGACGTTCTGAGTGCCAGCAGCGGCGACGATAAGATTGCGTGGTATTCCAACAACGGCGACGGCACCTTTTCCTCTCAAAAAGTTGTGACCACAAATGCCAGTGGGGCTTTTTCGGTGTATGCGGCGGATCTGGACAACGACGGGCACCTCGACATACTCAGCGCCAGCTACAATGACGACAAGATTGCCTGGTACCGCAACAATGGCAATGGCACCTTTTCCGCGCAAGTCGTCGTCACCACAGACGCCGATCGTGCCTTCTCGGTCTATGCGGCCGACCTCGACAACGACGGGGACCTGGACATACTCAGTGCCAGCCATGATGACGACAAGATTGCGTGGTACCGCAACCAAGGCAAAGGCGTCTTTTCCTCCCAGCTTGTCATTACCACAGAGGCCGACGGCGCCTTTTCAGTGTATGCGGTAGACCTGGATAACGATGGCCATGTGGATGTTCTCAGCGCCAGTGCCGTCGACGACAAGATTGCGTGGTACCGCAACAACGGCGACGGCATCTTCTCTTCCCAAGTCGTCATTACCACAGATGCCGACTATGCGTACTCGGTGTATGCGGCTGACCTGGACAACGACGGGAATTTCGACGTCTTGAGCGCCAGCGCATTGGACAACAAGATTGCCTGGTACCGCAATCAGGTGGGGGAACTCTTATCCCGCATGTAGTGGTATTATGAATCAAGGCTAGCTAATCGATCACCTGGTCCCTGAGGCCAATTGACCATTTTATGTTAATCAACTTTTGCCGCCTGGCGCGACACATTGCGCGCTCCATAGCACTGCGCCTTGACATGCGTCTCACTGCGCCACAGTGCCATCTTCAAGCAACCACCAGAGGGGCAGACAGACAAGCGAATGCCTTTGCAAGGGTTCAGAAGGCGAATGTTTGAAAGGGGGTCGGCAGGTGGGGGGGTTGTGGCAGATGAGATGGTCGAGGCGTCAGGGTCTTTCCAGCCAACTTCCATTGTTGTACCAAGAATGGTTGATGTATCATGATCGCGTCCGCCCCACAGGACCGTCGCGCAGCTGCGTGTCAAAGATGCACGCTCGTCTCTCCCCATAGCAAGCAAAGTCGCGTGATCTCTTTTCTTTTAAGAAAAAAACTTACATCATGTCTCTCTCTCAAGCTCTCAAGCTCTCAAGCTCTCTCAAGCTCTCTCTCTCTCTCTCTCTCTGTGTCTTTGCTCTTTAGTTCTCTCTTCTCAAAGCAATTCATTTCTCTCTCTCGCTTTCTCTCTCTCTCTCTCTTCTCTCTCTCTCTCTCTCTCTCTCAAGCTCTCTCTCTCTCAAGCTCTCAAGCTCTCTCTCTCAAGCTCTCTCTCTCTCTCAAGCTCTCAAGCTCTCAAGCTCTCAAGCTCTCTCTCTCTCTCTCTCTCTCTCTCTCTCTCTCTCTCTCTCTCTCTCTCTCTCTCTCTCTCTCTCTCTCTCTCTCTCTCTCTCTCTCTCTCTCTCTCTCTCTCTCAAGCTCTCTCTCTCAAGCTCTCTCTCAAGCTCTCTCTCTCTCAAGCTCTCTCTCAAGCTCTCTCTCAAGCTCTCTCTCAAGCTCTCTCTCTCCTACTTGAAGATTCTCCGAGTTGGCTGACCACCACACCCAAGAGGGACTGGGTCATCAAGGCAGCCATGGTGGGGGCATGGGGGGGCATAAGATGCGCAACGTGCACACACGCGCGCGAGAGCAGCTGTACACCACCTGACCCTGTGCCACCACCACCACCACCACCTGACTTGGCAAACGCCACCATTCCCTCTCTTCCTGGGAAGGATCCATAGCAAGGTCGTGCAGTGACTCGTCACAACCTGATGATTTGCAATCGCCCACACACACACATACAACACGGTCAAGTCGACGCCAGATCCATGTAAGCACATGTGCAAAAGACGTGACAAGGGCGCGCTTACACCCGCTCACGACCACTACATGTACCACCACCACTGCCGTCGTCGCCGTCGTGTCGGTGACCGCCGCCCTTTTAAACAAACGGAAAAAAAACAAACACATGACATGCCCATATCACCCCACACACACACACGTGTGTCCGTTCCTTAGACATACGCAGACTGCACAGATGGTGTGATTATTCTGCGGTACACACACACACACACACGCTTGAATTGACCAGCTGGCATATGAGCCGGGCTGGTGTGCGGGGCTTTCTCGTGGCGGTACACGGCTGCCAAGGCACGCACGGCAGCGCGCACTTTAAAAATCACATGATACGCGCTGCCGTTTCGTTGATGAGTCTTCCGCAGAACTTCGAGTAGAGATTCGACAAAACCGTCACGCCTCTTCCAGAGATATAACTGAAGCATCAACGTATCCCAGAGAAAAGTATCAAACCTTGTATTCATACAAGCTGTTATCAAAGGCTAAACCAGAGATTATTCCGAATTCCCTCTGAAATCCAGAGAAACAGACCATGGTCGGGTAAACATCAGAGAAGGGAAGGAACCGTTTTCAGCACACATGTAGCGTCATCCCACGCGTGGACACATGCAACACACCCTCACGCGCTTGCATCCCGTCACCCACGAGCTCGACTCGATCCTCTGAACGCGCAATCCCAATTCCACCCATTCTCTGAACACCAAGTGAATTCAAAGGTATTCAACCTGATGCAGCTCCGTTATCTCAACGGCTCTCTGACCCTGACCCCTGACCGCGTCACGGTCTCTCCCTCTCTCTCGTTTCAAAGTCACATGTCAGTCGTTTTGGCATCATGCCCCCCATCACGCCCTCGTTCATGCGCACTCTCTGAAACTAAAGGAAAACCAAAGGTGTTCAACAGATGTTCTTGACCCGTTCACTCCCTCTCTCTGCCAACTGTCCCCCTACTTGTCTGCTGGGGCACAATCTCTGACACGTCGCTCCAAGGGCTTCCTCTCTCTGCTGAGCATGATGACATGATACGTTTCTCTGACATTTATCTATCCCCGCTCCCAATCTCTGCTTTTGCATACACTTGCACCCGTAAACCCATCACGCTGGAATACATCTCTCTACCTCAGACGTCAACACCTCCCGCTCTCTCTGAAAAGGTGCTTCCCAACCCGCTCCCTCTCTCTCTCATTCTCTCTCACGCGCGCACTCTCTCACTTTTTCCTGTCGCCGGCGCCGACGACGAGGTGTGCGCGCCCTCCCCCTCCGCGCCCTCTCCTCCCCGTCTCCGCCTCACCTGCATTCATTCTTTCCATCACATCACCCCGTCTCCATCAACTTACTCACCCGCCTCCCCCTATCTTGCTTTTTTTATCTATAGAATCTGTCGGCATTCAAACACACACACACACACACACACGAGGGCGTCAAAAAAAAAAAATGGCACCCAACGTGCAAATGGCAGCCACGAACCGTGGCGCTGCCGCGACGGCGAATGCAGCAGCTACCAATGATGAGAGCAGCACGCCGACGGTTGGTACCGGTCAACTCAAGACGTGGGATGATGACCACGAGGGTATCCGATCGCGCGGGGCCGTCATTCGCGTTCACCCCAACGGCTTGAAGAGGGCAAGGTCATCCGCCCGGCGCCC